TTTTTTTTTTTTTTTTTGGTACCAGCGTTTGAACTCAGGACCTTGAACTTTCGAGGCAGGCAGTGGAACCACTGAGCTAAATCTCCAGCCCTGCAGTTTCACTCTCAAACTGCATGGCCCCCAAGTGTCCTGGAGGCCACTGTTCCCTGGCAGAGAAAGTATCCATCACAGGACCTTAGGAAGCAGGAGGGGCCCCGTCCTTTCTGCACATGATCCCTTTGCACTTTTGTCATGGTGTGGAGAGGCTTTTAAAGGCCTTTGGCCCAGTTTCCCTCTGCAGGGAGCACCCACAGCCGAATCCTCACCCACACCCACCCTCAGTTCACAGCTGTGCCCAGCTTCAGAGTGCATGTGGTCACATGATGGCCATCAGGGCAGGGACTTCCTGTGTTGGGTAGGAGCAAGCATTCATCAGTTTCCTGCTGGCGTGAGCATGTGCTAGGTGCCACACACCCGCTGGTGCGACAGACAGGAAGTCACTGTCGGCACTCGTGTAAGAAGCTGCCGCTGGTCATTTCCCAAATCACTGCAACCCCAGGCCTGGTCCCACAGACTGCCTCACCTCAGCCTTTCAGCAAGGCAGCAGTGTCCCCTTGTACCTGGGACTGCAGGAGTCATCCTGCTTGTGTGCAGACTGCAGAGAGCTGGTAGCAACAAGGATCCACACCCGTGCGGGCCACGTTGAGGGACCCTAGTGATGATCGCCTTCCCAGGATGGTGTCAGGGTTTCACTGTTGTTTTTCAGATTAGCTTCTTCAAGAAGGGCGCTGAGATGTTTTCCAGGAGCATGGACAGCTTCCTCTCCTCCACGGCAGACATGTTTCAAAGGTAACATGGCCCCAGGTACAGCCCTGTGTGCCTGCTGCCCTCCTCACTGAAACCGCATCACAGGGTGTGGTCCTTACCTGGGAGTGGTGGCGCACACCTGTGATCCCAGCACTCAGAAGGCTGGGACAGGAGGATCGCTGTGAGTTTTGAGGCGACCCTGGGTCATGTAGTGAGTTCAATGCCAGCCTGAACGATACAGGGAGGCACTGTCTCAAAATAAATAAGTAAAGGACAGTCCTGAGGCTCACGCAGAAACACTGGGGTTTTTCTGGCTTCTGATCTTAATGTTCATGACCCTGCCCTTCCCAGCACAGTGGAGGAGGAACAGGACCTCTCTGTTGCGCCATGCCCAGGACATGTTTGCCAGGCTAGGCGGGAGCCTGGCGGGGCCTCACTGTGGGCGGAAGGGTAGAGGCTTCGGCTTCCGGGTTCCAGCCTTGGCGCATGCGCACATAGACGCCAAGCCCCAGATGGGAGCGGGGGTGTCGTCACTTACCCTGTGAGTGGCCCTGGCCAGTGGGCGCCTCACGGTGGGCATCGACATAAAGCACTGTCCTTGGCTCCCTCGTGTCTTGGTGCTATTTCCTGCTCACTCTTCTGTCCCGCCCCTTCCTGGGCTGGGCTCACGGGGTTCCGGCGCTGCACGCGGGTCCTGCAAGCCATGGAGGTGATCTGGGTTCGGCATTGCATGGTGGGATTCATTCTTTTGATTGGGTTTGGTTTGGTTATTTTTGAGACAAGGTCTTGTGTCTTTAGGCAGGGCTTGAACTCACTGTAGCCCACGCTGGCGTCAAGCTTTCTCTTGACTCGGCCACCCGAGTGCCAGGTCGCAGGTGGACACCCCAGCCTCGGCGTTGGCACAGCCGACGCAGAGCTGATGGCTCTGTCTGCACGGCAGGCAGCTTTGGGCGCGGTGAAGGCCCTGCCACCTGCTTCTTAGTGGGGCGGAGTTGGCCTGCAACGAAGGACTGACCTGTCGCCTTCTGTCGGAAGCATCCAGGTGGAGCTGGAGGCCGAAGCAGAGAAGATGCGGGTGTCGCAGCAGGAGCTGCTGTCTGTGGACGAGTCCGTGTACACCCCAGACCTAGACGCGGTTGCCCCGGAGATCAACCGGAACCTCATCCAGAAGGCCGGCTACCTCAACCTGAGGAAGTGGGTGCAGTGCCCGCCTCTTCCAGGCCATTCCTGGGACGCGGCCCCCTAGGCTGGAGGGTGGGTGGGGATGACTGGAACCCAGCACTCACCCAGCTGCAGGAGGCTCCTGGTAGATGGTGTGGGGAGGGATGGGGCAGAACCCACCACCTGGGCTCAGGACGCTCCCCTCTCACTGTTGGTGACTGGGTGGCTTTCAGCTGCTGTCATCGGGGGTGTTTGAGTTACTGTCCGCAGGGCCCAGCCAGTGGTGAGGGAGGCTGTGCAGCCTCATGTCCGCCCAGACCACATCAGGCACTGAACACTGAAGGGATGGGTAAGATCGGGTGTGTCCAGGAGCAGAGACATGATACCAGGGTGCCTGGGGTCCTCAGGCTGCCCGGCCAGGCCTCGATCTCTCCGACGACTGCCCCTACTTCAGACGGTTTTGTGAACATGGTCATCCTGGTGGGGGTGTAGCTTTCCAGTGTCAGCTGTTGCCGTATTTAGGAATTTCCTGGGCAGTGAGGAAACCTAGCACCTTGCACACCATTCCTCCTTGGCGTTGCAGAATTATGTGGCTGTCTGCTGTCCCCCACTGAGGACATCCGCAGAGGATCTGCTGCTCTTTCCTGCAGGCAGAGCAGAGCCCACAGACTGGAGATCATGAGCCAAATGCCCCCTCAGTTCTCTATGGATAAAACTCCGCAAGTCCTGTGTCATTTGCCCAGGGCCTGCCTTTTCCTCCCCTAGGCAGAATGACCTCCCAGAAGAGCACAGCCCAGGCTGGCAGGAGACCCTGGGGTATCCGTGGGCTAAGGTGACGCGGGCCTGCCCTGCCCACATGCTGGTCATTGGCCCCAGGAGCGGCGCCCACAGTCTACCGATGCCCAGGCTCCCGGCTCTCCAGCTCGCAGCCCATTGTCTGTAAACACCAGGAGGCACAGGACACGGAGGCCCCTGCTTCCCAGGGCTGACGGCTCTTGCACTCCATTCCCACAGCAAAACGGGGCTGGTGAGCACCAGCTGGGAGCGGCTCTACTTCTTCACCCAGGGCGGGAACCTCCTGTGTCAGCCCCGGGGCGCTGTGGCCGGGGGACTCATCCAGGACCTGGACAACTGCTCGGTGATGGCAGTGGACTGCGAGGACCGGCGCTACTGCTTCCAGATCACAGCTCCCAACGGGAAATCGTAAGCCTCAGGGTGGCCCAGGGCGGGTCACTGCGGGACTGGGGACCTTCGGGGGCAGCCGTCTTCGGTCCACGGGCTGCTGCAGGGCCAAGCCTGGTGAGGTCTGTTTGCGCCTTCGGAATGTCCAGGGGACGGAAGGTGGGCGTCTCCTCCCCAGGCTGTCAGCAGCCGCCCCTGCTCCTCGTGTCCTAGTTGCAGCCCTGTGCAGTTCCAGTTCTGGCCTCAGGCTCCTCATGTACAAAACAGAGATGAGATCTGTTTCCCACGTGCCACCGATGGAGCGGCAGGCGGGCAGTGGCCCTGCCGAGGCTGGGAGACACTGTGGTCCCCCTCTGGGCCTGGCCCTCTGTTCACTTAGCATTGCTCAGAGGCAGGGCTGGGTGCCTGGATGAGGTTGGAGGCCGCAGGGCGACAGGACGTGGTCCCCACTGCGCATCCAGACTTGGCTCAGCAGCCTTCTCGCTTATGTGGGAGACGCTGAGCATCTTCTGGAACCCGCCCCCTCGCCCTCCCTTGGCACTGGCTCGCTGGTGTCCAGCACGCTCAGTCTAAGAGCTGCGGCCCTGACTCAGACGTGCCTTGTTCCAGGGGAATAATCCTCCAGGCAGAGAGCAGGAAGGAGAACGAGGAGGTAACTGGTGCCCTGCCTGCTGCCTCGCCTTCCTCCCGGGGCACCAGTGATGCGGGGCTCAGGGCTTCTCTTCCCTCCGCAGTGGATCTGCGCCATCAACAACATCTCCAGGCAGATCTACCTGACTGACAACCCAGAGGTAAGGAGCGGCCGCCCCGGCCCCCATGGCACCCCCACCCGTCCCTCCTGCTGAGCAGCGCCTCGTGGCTTCCAGGCCGTGGCCATCAGGCTGAACCAGACGGCTCTGCAGGCGGTGACTCCCATCACGAGTCTGGGGAAGAAGCAGGAAAGCTCTGGGCCCAGGTAAGCGGAGGACAGAGGGAACCAGCCTTTGGGACGCGGGGTCTGTCCAGGCTTTGACACTGGCATTGTCACTGGACCCTCCCGCCCTGCCAGAGGCTGTCCAGCTCCACCCAACAGAGCGTGACCTGGGCCGGGAGTGGTGAATGTTTCACACAGGGTCTACACTGCCAGCTCAGTGGCGGGGTCAGGATTCAAACCTGCCTGAGGAGCATCCCTGACCTTTCCCACTGGGCCACATTGCTGCGGTCAGAGCCAGTAAGATCCGTGTCCAGGGTCCTGGCTCTCACCACATTTTCCACAAACACCAGCAGAGCACTATAAACAAAAAGTGTGTACTCTGGGATGGAACCCAGGGGTGCTGTACCACTGAGCTCCATTCCCCAGCTCCACTGCCCTGGTGATTCTCCTTCAGCCTCTTTCAGATAACAAGCATCCACTGCCACACCCACCAAAGAATTTTTTTTAAATAAGAAAATCACCTTTTCTGTGTCCACGTTACTATCCAGGCCTCCGCTGCAGTGTGCTGTTTTCATGTGCGTTTACTTTTATTTTCATATATACACTTTAAATACAGTGGACCCTTGAGTTACAACCAGCCTGACATACAAACAGTTCGGTTATGCCCAGAATTTTAGTTTTAACTTAGGACCAGAGTCTTGAGTTACCACCCAAATGCTTGCCGCTGTGCTTCCAGGCGGTCTCAGTGCAGATTTAACTCTTCCGGAAGGAACATTGTGGCATCCTTCCTGTGTGGGGTAAACTGAGAAATCTTGGGCCAGCGTCTCTCTAAGGACCCTGAGATCTGCCTGTGTGCAGGAGAGAGACTGAGGCTGTGGAGAGGAGCCTGAGCCTCCACCGACCACCTTGAGTTACAACCTGCCCACGTGAACAAACCTGAGTTCGAGTCCAGGGTCCACTGTACTTCTGCCTTGCTCGTAGTCCTGTCTTACAGTAACTACACGATCCCATCGTTAGCGTCAGTGCCGAGTGTTTAGGTCAGCTTCACCAGCAGTGAGCGTTTGCAGGCAGACAGCCACCTCGCCTCTGGCCCTGTGTCCAGTTTCCTCTTGGGGTCCACCCTCGGGGTAGGGAGTCTGCATGGGGCTGAGGAGGTGGCAGCAGCCGTGTTACGGAGCCAGTGAAATCACAGCATCCTGGGCGGTTTGCATCACGGCGCTGTTTGGTGTCCGTGTTTAGCGGCACAGGAGGGGCCCTGCGACCTGATGACTGGCAGGCACCATGGGGATCTCAGAGTCATGTAGCCCCGGGGTGATGCCCCCCGCCTTGGACCTGCAAGGAGCCAGGGACCAGGAGATATGCTGGGCTTTGGCTGACGCCTGGGCCCAGCTCGGCGGTCAGAGCTTCTGAGGCGTGACAGCCGTCACCTGGCGGGAAGGCAGTTGCCGATGGCACAGGGTAAACTGAGGGCCGTGGGGGCGGCCGTGGTGGAGCGGCAGCAGGAAGATGTAAGACAGAGCACGAGTACCTGAGCAGAGGTGACAAAAACGAGGACAGGACAGTGAGGCCGGGACCAGTGAGCGCAGTCAGGAAGTCACAGTGTGCACAGTTGCAACTCAGACCTCCACAGGAAGCAGAAATCCAGACCCACGGGGCAGGGGTGGCCTTGTCCCTCCTGTAAGGAGACAGATGCTTCAGTGCCTGTGGTGTGGAGACCCTGAGACTGAGGTGGACGCCTGGCGTCCTCTCGTCCAAGCCCCCCAGCTCTGAGGTGACTGAGGAATGGGGCCACTTGGCGGAAGACGTGGAGAAATGGACTTTTCTCCCTTTCTAGAGTAAGTGACGTTCTTAGGCAGAATGGACTTCAGAGGGAGAAAGCTTCTGGGGGTGCCTCAGCCAGCAGCTGAGAAGGGCACAGATGTGGCTGCCGGGCGGCCCGAGCTGTGGCCAGGAGACTGTCTTAGGGTCAGGCTCCTGACCCTGGGGGACCTGCTGAGCACCGTCACAGGCCGCAAGTCTGTACCTCTTCCCTGGCTCCACAGTCGCTCTGCCTACACCGGCCTCCACGTGTCTTCTCGGCCATGTCCGCGGTCACTGCTGCCATCTTAGGCTAAGGATGAACCCTAACGTGGAAGGCAGGCGGAAGGGAAAGTTCCTCAGTCACGACAGGGGAGGCCCTGGGAGCCGGTGACTAGGCAGCTGGCGTGGGGAACAGAGGACCCTGGGCCGGGCTGCGCTATGGGGAGGGGTGTCGTGTGAGGCAGGGAGAGGCCCTGGGGCTGGGCTAGGGGAGATAAGAAGTCCGGATCCGGCTTCAGTCGGAGGTGAGGTGTGGAGGGAAGGACATCCATGGAGTTGAGCCCAGAGACCGAGGTGGTGGAGGAGCAGGAGTTGGGTCTGGGCCACACCAGGCCTGAGGGCTATGGGTCCTGGTTGTCATGCAGATCTAGTGCACAGGGAAAGCGCCCAGGCAGTGGATGGGCCAGGAGTGCAGCAGAACCAGGACGAGGACAAGGATGAGGGTGGGTTGGCTCCTGAGGGACCCCAGCATCTGGAGCAGGGGCAGGAGCAACACCATGCCTGGCACCAGTGGAAACCCAGAGAAGACCCTGAGAGATGGGGTCCCCTGGGCGGTGACAGCAGTGCCTGTGGGGGCTGGGGACTGACACAACTGCCTGTCACTCAGTTCCAAGCCCTCGGGCTCCTTGATGAGGGTCGAGGAATCTGGCATGGGATGTTCAGTAGGCCAGGCCTTGCTGTCAGACCTCGCACCCCTGCTGCCTGTGGTGACGCCACAGCGGTGAGGCTGCTGCCACCTCCTCCCTCCATGTGGCTCACGGAGGCCCCCGATGGCCTGGGTTTCACTCTCTGCTAACTGGAGATTAAACTGCAACCCTTCCAAGGGTTCCTACAGAGCCATGCGCATCTGTGTTCAGTTCAGGGACCCTCTGTTGTGTAGCTGTCACATAGCTGACTTGAGAAACATGAAGGGATTGACATAAAATCAGGTGCATAGAAGGATAACCGAGCGCTTTTACCATCCACACAAGGAAAGAAGCAAAACGCTGCGATATCCTCGGCCCCTTGAAGGCGCTTCCCCGCCAGCCAGAGAGCAGAGGTTTGGGAGGCAAGGTTAACTGCAGCACTGACACTGGAAGACCCGGCTGGTCACTGCACCTGGCCAGCCGCGCACGCTGCATCCAGGGGCCGGGAGCAGCGCTCCTCTCGGGCGCAGGCTTGTCTGACTCACAGGGAAGCTGCACCTGAGGAGGAGGAGCTCAGCGGGTACTGGAGTGGACAGTGGCAGAGCTGGGCTGGAGGTCAGCTCCAGTGGAGCGGGACTAGGGGGATGTCAGGAAATTGGAGCCAGGTTCTGATGAGGGCGAAGCCAGGATGCGTTCTGCTTCCAGCCCACTCTGCCGGCCATTACTGTCAGGTAAATGCGGCCTGGCCGTAGCTTGTCTCCCAGGGAGTGAGTACAGGGCTGGCGTGAGACGTGACAGGTGCCAAAAGCACCAGCACTGAGCAGGGGACATGGTGGGGAGACCTGGGGTTCGGCAGAGGACACGGAGGTTCAAACACACCAACAGCTCCCTGCACCCTCCCTCTGTATCTCCATGGAAAAAGTCACGTCGACACTGAAATATATGTGATGCATTCCCCTCCTGTGCTACACTCCAGCCAGATCCCAAAGAACTCGGAGCTCGAGAGTGACAAGACCGACCCCACGGCAGCAGCCGCAGTTCTTGAGCCCGAAGAGCTGATCGCGCCTGGGACGCCCATTCAGTTTGACATCGTGCTCCCCGCCACGGAGTTCCTGGACCAGAACAGAGGCAGCAGGTAGGGCCCGGCCGGGGAGGGGCAGGAGAAAGGGAAGTCCAGTCTTGGGTTCAGCTGGCAGCCAGAGGTCTGCTGTGCTGAGGCCTCCCGCTGTCCCCCAGGAGGACCAACCCTTTCGGCGAGACTGAGGATGACTCGTTTCCGGATGCGGAAGGTGAGCGGCCAGCTTGGTACCTTTTCTCCTTCCGCTGCACACCAGGCCACGGATGTAACAGGTGACGTCGTGTTCTAAGGTCTAGAGCTTGGAACAGGAACGGAAATTACGACCGCATTTGCCGCTCCCTGAGGTTGAATGACCAGGCGTGGCTGGGCAGCTCTGGTACAGACTGAGAGGCGCTCGCCCTGCCTCAGCGTTACCAGATCCTGCGTAGAAGACGCTGTCAAATCGAAATCTGACATCCATTCTTTCAGAACAAATTCGAGGAGAAAATGATGCCGTTACAGTGCAGACTTGGTGAAGGATAAATATTACGTTGTTCAATTTTAGATTTTTGCTGTGGGATTTAGTCTTAAATGCGTTGAAGTACATGCCCAGTGGAGCTGTCCATTTCTTCTGAGCTCCCAGCCAATGCAGTTTAGCAAGTGCTCGGCACCCTGACTGGAGTGAGGGTGTTCTCAGAACAAACTCCTCTTGTTTAAGTTTTAAAATGTTAGTGCAGAATTTGCTTTCCTTAAAAGCTTTAGGCAAAAGTTTTTGTTTCTTTAAGTGAAGTTCCTAAGTTGCACCTCAAATCTGGCGCAGTGTTTTGACCTGCCTTTATTTAACCCAGTGCACAGCGGGAGTCCACGGTCCACAGAAAACACTTTTCAAACTTGTAAACGTCCATAGAAAAGGGTTAAGTGTGAGTTATTTATTACACTGTATCAGTATCCTGGTCTAGGAACAGAGGAAGAGAGGCCCCCAGTTTAAAACAATGGGTAAATATTGTTGCTACAGAAAAAAAAAGTGTTGTTTTTTTTTTCTTTTTAATGAAATGTTCTTTGTGGTCTCAGTAGTGGCTTCCTGTCACTCGGTTCTGTGAGACTTTGTGTCATTACCATGAAGCCAAACTGGCAGTCCCTTCCAGCCAGCGAGCCAGTTGCTTTAGAGATGCCCTATTTCATAGGAGCTGTCACTGCTCGTCCACTGGAGTGAGTGGCTGACGGGAGCGAGGCCGTTGTCCGGTCAGACTCCTGGGGCAAACCTTCCTCTGAGGTCCCCGGAGTGATGGAAGCGAGCGCGCTTCCCGGGTCTCCTTGGCGGACGTCCGCCTGGCCCTGGCCCTGCCGTCTCATTTGGTACCAGAAGCCGCAACGATCGGCACGCCCTGATGGCACAGGGCAGGAGTCAGAGCTCGCCGGACAGAGAGCAAGGGGAGGCTGAGCTCCTTCTTCGCCCGTCCCCAGACCGCAGTGCAAATGCAACCCGGAGCACCACCCTCTCTTGCAGATTCGCTTCTGCAGCAGATGTTCATAGTTCGGTTTTTGGGGTCCATGGCTGTTAAGACGGACGGCACCGCAGAAGTGATTTACGAAGCGATGAGACAAGTCCTGGCCGCGCGAGCGATCCACAACATCTTCCGGATGACGGAGTCCCACCTGCTGGTCACCAGCCGGGCGCTGAGGTACTCGCGGTCTCACGGTCACAGCCTCTGCAAGGCACACACACCCTCCTGGGGGCAGCACATCGCCTGCGGGCTTGGGTTAAATGAAGATAAAGATCTGCTCTTTTTTTGGTAAAAGATGCTCTGAAAGACCAGACTGTGCATCTCAAAATTCAGTACAGGTGAATACAGGTTGAGGATCCCTTATTTGAAATGCTTGAGACCAGAAGTATTTTAGATTCTGGTTTTAGATTTTAGATTTCTTTCACATTTTGGAATACGTGCACACACCTTGGAGATGGAACCCAAGTCTAAACATGAAGTTCATGGTGGTTTCATATTCACTTACAGCCTACAGATAACATACAATTTTAGTAATTTTGTCCCTGAGACAGTTTCATGGCGTGGAATTTCCACTTGTGGCAGTCTGTCAGTGCATTTGAAATTGTGGAGCATCTGGATTTCAAATTTCAGATTAAGGCAGCTCAGCCTGTACGGAGTTTGTAAAGATGCCATTTTTCTCGAGTTCCTCTATATCATCATCAGACCTCGAAGGTGAAAGGGTTTTTTGGTTTATTTGAAAACAATGCTTACAAATATTAACAGTGATAAGAGAACATGAATCTGCCTAAAATGCCCGGAGCACTAAAAGGTAGTGGGATTAAGGCTTTGTGGAGAGGAGAGGGGCTTTGGGTAGTGAGGTCCGCGTGAGCGGACAGCGGTGGCCGGGCCACATGCTATAGAGGAGGAACTGACATGGTCTCAGAGTTAAACACCAACACGCCTCTGAGATGCGGGGACTCCCCGCAGACAAGGTAAAGCATTTCTGATAATTTTCTAGTTTAATTACACCCTAACTGATAGTATTTTAGATTACTGGATCAAATAATTTCAGCTGTTTCACTTTCCATAACGTAGCTTCTAGAAAAACCTTAAATTATGGACAGGACTCCCGTTGTATTTTCACGGGACAGCACGGTGGCAGAGCCAGGCTTTCCTGGTGTATCCCTGGCCTCGGCACGTGTGTAACCTCGGTTCCTTCAGCTATGAAATGACTGCATCCAGACTGCATAGCGTCATCTTGAGCTAAACACCCACGGCTGACCAGCACGGTGGTTCTTAGAAGAGGTAACTAGGGGCTCTGGTACAAAGCCCTATAACGCTGGCTACTGCAGAAGCTGAGGCAGGAGGAGTCCAGCCTAGGCAGCTTAGCGAGACCCAGTCACAACATAAAAAGTAAAAAGGCTGGGGATAGAGCTGTGCACTTTCCAGGTTGCAGCTCTCCACTCCATCTTCCGCTGCTGGTTCAGCACTGCCGAAAACAATGGGCAACTAGGACTTCCGTTCATTACCTTTTTCATTTATTATGAATCTTATCATGAGACTTAGGTTGTTATGAAGAAAACTATGCACACTTTCAAGCTTTTCTCCAACTATATCTTGGACCTTACATAGAATTAGCTTATTGCTCTTATAACTCAAATCTTCTCTACAGATTTGTCTAATCTAGACATTTCATATAAATGAGATTATGGTCATTGTTTTTACAAACAGAAAAGATTTTTGCTTTTACCTGTAAAACTTACAGCAATTCCAAAATTATTGCAATATCTACTATTATATGTAATTTCTCTAACAGGAGAAGTAGCGTGTAGGAGAAATGCATGGGAGGTATGGGGCGGGGTGTAACTTAGGGCTGGAGCACTTGACTGGCACGCACAAGACCCCGGCCCTGAACCCCAGCCCTGAAAAAAATTATGTGTACTGTTACCTCGTGTCACCGGAAAGATGGCTGTGGGTCGTGTTCACCACCCTGTGCCAAGTTTGCAAATAAAAACAAAAGTTTTGCCAAACAGTTGTGTTTGTGAACCAAACTGTTGGAAAACAAAAGCATTCATGACCCGAGGTACCACCGTATTTAAGGCTGCAATAAAGTCTCGAAGTCAGTCCTGAGGTACCTCAACCGCGCTGTTCCACGAAGCTTCAAATATTGTTACAGAACGTATTCTCGAATATCTTAATTAAGTACTACTCCTCTTACGTTTATAGTAATAGAGAACGGCTTTGTCACATCCCTTTCTGTTCTCACCCCTCCCCCATGTATTTGTTTAAAGTTAAATTTAGAATAAGCTGGTAGCGCTTGCAGGGGGTTAAACACCAGTGAATGTCGTGGGGAAGGAGGTCCAGGACCATGGTCACCCGCACAACGCTAGGCTGTTGGCCGTTGCGACGCTGCTGCTTCAGGCAGCACCACCTACGTGGGGTGGGTTGTTGCTGTGTAATCCTGCACCTCACAGGGCACTCGGCCTCAGCCAAGTCTCTCGGTCGCCCTGGGGGCGTTGGTGTGACTCTCTCTGAACTTTACAGACTCTTAGGGAAGTGTTTGTTCTACATTTGTGATATAACGCATCTCTTAATATTTCAGGTTGATAGATCCTCAGACCCAGGTGTCAAGAGCCAGTGTAAGTACATCTTCTCCTTCGTACCTAACCCAAGCACAGCAGGGATGGTGAACCTTTCAGAGCTTTCCATAACTCAGCCCACTGCAACACACGTGCCATAGGTTCGCCACTACTGACCTAAGCACTCGGTAATGGCCACATTACGTGGCTGTCCCCAGTGTCCTCTTCCTGACTTTCGCAGAGAACAGCAACCGTCAGGTTTGATTCCCGCGGGCGGTGACCGCTCAGTTTGTCCTTCTCCCCCCAGTTTGAACTCACCAGCATCACCCAGTTCGCTGCTCATCAAGAGAACAGGAGACTGTTCGGCTTTGTCGTCCGCATCCCCGAGGCTGCGGGAGGGGAGTCTCTGAGCACATACATTTTCGAAAGCAACTCAGAAGGCGAAAAGGTCTTGTTTTTGTTTCATATTTGTAACAGTTTAATCCAGACAGGTCCATCCATCTTTGACGGGGCATCAGGGCAGGAAGTGTCCCCCAGAGGTCTGGATGACCGCCCCGCCCACCTCCACCCCACTGAAGGGCCCCTGGCTGCACTGAAAATTCCCCAGGGGAAAGTACGCACCCAGGAGAGTGGATGAGGTAGAATGTTAAAGCAGGGTTGGATTGTTCGGTAGGGACGTCACAAAATGATAAGGCAGGTCACCTCTGTTCTGAAAGCAGAATTAAAGCAAGATTTACAGTACAGAATAGTCTCAGAGCAAGCCAGACAGCAGACACAGGGAAGCACATCTGAGCCGGGCTTTGATTAGTAGGAGAGTGCTGTGGTCACACCATGGGAACCGGCCCCCTTCGCGGAGCACCCTGTGCCGCTGTGGTCCCCGACACGCAGTGGTGGGTAAACTCGCCTGAGTAGGACGAGCGTGGCTTAGGAACTGCAAGCATCGTAGCTGCTCAGTGTCTCATCACACGGCATAAACTGGCGCCGGGGGGCTGGACGCTGGCACCGCAAGCCCATGGACAAGACGCACACCCCACGGGCCTCAGTGGACATGGCCACTCTGCTCCTAGCTCACGCTTCCTCCCAAAGGTGTCTGTCCTTTCCTGCTTTGCTAAATACTGCTCTTCTTGTCTTTTGCAGATATGTTATGCTATGAATTTGGGGAAAGAAATTATTGAGGTTCAGAAGGTAAGGTGCATGTTCGTGCTGGTTTAACAACTTCAGGGACATCTGTCCACACAGGCAGGCGCTATGAGGCAGGAAGCGTTTTCCCAGTCAGCGGTCGGGTGGGCCTTCCTCAGCTTCCTGTGAGGGGCTGACGCTGGCAGATCCGCACTTACTAACCCTGCGTCGCCGTCACCGCTGCGGCTCCGGCCACGTAACCTTCTTGCTCGCCTACTCTTGCCTCAGTTTCCCCTTCCAGTCCATGATGACACAGACTGGTCCCCGCCCGTGCTCCTGGGCCGGCTCCCCAGAGGACACACCCAGGCCCGCAGCACTGGTCCACTAGTCGTGAGTGGAGTCTTCCCTGTCCCTCAGCAGTCTGTCCACCCAGCGGTTGTGAAGGCCTAGTCTGTAGGAGAAAACGCCTAGAAGGACAGCAGGGACGGGACAGACGCACCCTCGCGGGCGCCCACTGCAATGTCTGAAGGAAGCGCCAGCACTGCCCCGTGGAACGTGCAGGCGATTAGTGTGGCGAGGCTCTAACCAGAACCCTGTCGGGATGGCTGCCCTCTCCGCGTCCGGTCCCTCAGAGGGCCGGACAGAGGCCAAGCGCGGCGGGCTCCTGCTCAGAGGTCACAGCCTCTCTCCTGGTGCCGGCCGCTGCGGTGGAGCCCAGTGTAAGGGGGTGGGGTGCACAGGGGCGCAGAGGACGAGGCTGTGCGCAGCCCCCACGGGAGACCTGACGAGCCTGCTGTGGAAACAGCCTGGGTTCACCTGTGCGTTTAGCCCACCCTTGAGCTTTGGGAGGAGCGAGGGGATCGACTGAAAAGCCACAGGCACGTGAGGAGGGAGCCAGGTCGCAGGACACTGAAAGCCAGGCCCAAGGGCGTCAAGTGCACCTTAAGCCTTTTTCTTTTCTCTCTTCCTTTTTGTCCCCCTCAAACGCTCCTAACTTCAGGATCCTGAAGCGCTGGCTCAACTAATGCTGTCTCTGCCACTAACCCATGATGGGAAGTACGTCCTGCTAACCGAGCAGGCGGAGGACAGCGACGGCAGCCCGGGCGGGCGCAGAGGCGCAGAGTCGGAAGCGTGACTCCCAGGCCGGGGAAGTGGCGGGGCCGGGC